TTGATGTTGTTGTTGTTGTTGTTGTATGCTTTGTACTTTTAAAATGAATATGATTTATGGAAAAATAAACAATAAAATGACTTCCAATATATTTAAAACATGACATCAACTCCTTTATCTGATGGCAACTAATCTTTACATAGCTACATAAGAAGTAGGAACAACTTTTGAAAGACATTTCAAAGTATGATAACTAAGTGATAACAACAAGCAAAATCCTTATGTTTATGTTAAGATCATTACAATATTTGATATAAAATAATTGTATTAATCTAAACACAAATTCAAATATGATTAAGCAGATACAATTTTCTTTCATAAAAATGGAGACAATATGTTGTGATATTTTTTTATATATAAACTTTGATATCTCATGATAATGATATCACTGAAAAAAAAAAATCAAATAAAACCCATATAAAAAAAAACTAATGAGAAGCAACTTTAGATATCTAAAAATGGTCCTAATGTTATGAATGCTAACAAAGATAAGCAAATACCTGATAAAGGGGATATGGCAATATTGAGTACATCCCTGCAGCCTTTTCATGGTAGAACAATGACCTCTTAGTATTAACGAGTGATTGTACAGTGGAGCAGTTGGCAAAGCCAACAAATTCTATAGCAAAGAACATTGCTCCAATGACAGACATAAGTTCTTTTGAATTATCATTGGATTGAATAAGTCAACAGTTAGTTTATAAATACAGGTCAACACTTAAGAAAACTGGCAATCAAGTTATAGTTAAAGAACCTGCACTGGTAAACTTTCTGAACATTTAACCTAGCGGCAGAGTAGTGACAAGGGCCATGCCAAGTCTTGATAGGTTGAACCATCGTCTCCTGCAATATATCGACCAATACTTTTATAAGTAGATCTTGAATTGACCATAATTGGATTGGACATATTGAGTTAAGAAGTATAGATCACATGTACCAGACAATGGCTTACTTACCTCTCCAAACAAAGGCATGTTTTGCCTATTGGTGGCAAGGCAATAATGATTAAGAAGATTAAACATAAAACCAAAATAGTTCTATATAAAATTGTACTCCATGTGCATAACAACAAGCATTGACATCCATGATTGTTCGTGATTTATATATAATCTAGAATAAAAAATATACTCACTTGTCCAATGAAGAATTATTGTATATCTCAGCAAAATCAATATATGCTTAGTCTGCAATTTAGCAATATCAACAAAAAAATGGGTGTGTAGTGGTCCACCAACCAAAGAAACTGCAAAAAAAAAGTTTAATTCAAAATAGAAAAAATATAAGAAAACAATCTTCTAAAAAGCCACAAACATATTGGAAAACTATGCTCTTAGTGAAAATCCTACAAAACATGGTGACTAATAGAACATGGTAGAAGTTAAGGGTTGTAGCATAAGTAAAGCATACTTGTTGTTCCAAGGAATACACACATGAGTAAACATGATGAAGAGTATGTTTATTGGTCATCACATTTCCCTCAAAAAATGATACAACTTGTGTGGTATTATCTTAACAAAGTTTACAGAAATGTTCATCCATTGTAATAATAGTATTTGCATCTAAAAGTTTTGAGAAGTTTGTAATTTTACTCATTATAGCTAAATTGATTAAGAGAAGCATGTTAGATGATAAGGATGTAACTTATTGAATATAGCGAATATTTGCACATATTTGCACATTATCAGAAGGTAGAAATGATAAATAATTGAAACTGAATGAAAGAACAAACTACTTCTGAGCATAAATTACTAAGTTTCAAACAAACTACTAACTGGTTCATATTTCAAAGAAACTTAACATAATAACAATCGTTACCATTGTAATAATAGCATTTGCATCTGAAGTTTTGAGAAGTTTGTAAGTTTTACTCATCATAGCTAAGTTGATTAAGAAAAGCATGTTAGATGGTAAGGATGTAACTTATTGAATAGAGCGAATATTTGCATATTATCAAAAGGTAGAAATGATAAATAATTGAAACTAAATGAAAGAAAAAACTGCTTCTATGGTTAACATCTGGCTTAGGAAGTAACAAGAGTGGCAACATGTTATCAACATCACAAATGATTGGCATGATGCATTAGT